CTCCCCGCCTGGGTCCCGGTGCGGCTGCACACCCGGCCGGGCTGGCCCGGGAGAGGACATCGGCACCCAGGGGTCTTCTGTCCTTGAAGTGGCTCCGCACAACTGGGGACGCATCTGCAAATTACAAATTGAAAAAAAGCATGCGGAGGCGCCATCTGTGACCACGCCCGGGGGGTGAGGTGAGAGTTCAGGGCCGCACCCACTGGGTTAGTTTGTTTGTTCGTTTGAGACAGGGTCTCGGTAAGTAGCCATGCTGGCCTTGAACTTGTGGCGATCCTCCTGCCTCAGCCTCCCAGCGTCCTGGGACTACAGGTGTACGCCACGGCGCCTGGCTTCAGACTAATTTTCATAAGCACCGTTGCGTTACAGCCGGGACAGTACGATTACCAGAACAGAATGTGTAGCTGGGGCGTACAGTGAGTATGTAAAGCCATGCCCTTGGTTTTCAGACATCTGTGTTTCTATTCTCACTACGTTTTTTGCCATGTAAATGTTCCGGAAAAAAACAAAAAGAGTCGTTCGTGGGAAAAACACGACAGCTCCACAGGGGTGCCGACGGCTTTCTGCTCCTACACGTTTTCCTTTGGGCGCCCGTAGGAGTCAGCAGAGCCGCCGTGGCTCTGTTCATCCCGTTTTTGGCCTTAATTTTGACGTTTAATAGACGGCGTTTGAGCATCGTCGTCGTGGTCCGTGAGGCTGAGGCGGGAGGACTTTGCCAGTTTGAGCCCAGCCCTGGACGTTCAGCAACTCAGCCAAGAGTTGGCCCCCAGATGAAACCTAAACGGGTTCGGGATGTGGCTCAGTGAGGGCGGACGGGTGGATGCGCGGGCGGGTGGGTGAATAAAGGACGGACGGAGAGATGCGTGGATCAGAGGATGGAAAAGGAACGGGGGGGCAGGACAGGGGGGGACGCAGGGAGACGCTGCCCCCACCCCGGCTCTGCCCGAGCTGTCCCGGGACGAAGTCTGGGTCGCAGCCCCTGACCCCGGCAGAGAAGGTGGCGCACTTTCCTACCCCAGTGTGGAGCTCTTTACACAGACGCAGTGGGACCCTCCCGTCGTCCCACCTCTTGGGAGGCTGAGGCGGGAGAGTCGCTGCAGGTACAAGGCCGCCCTGGGCTCCCTAGTGAGCTTAGGGTCAGGCTGCACCACGAAGAGAGGCCATGCCTCAAACAGAAAACTGCTTTTATCTCTTGTCACGGTCTGAGGTCACGGTTTTATCTAATCACTTCGTGTCTTTTTCTTGCACAGGAAAAAATACCTGTCCCCAGGGGCCTATCTCCCGAAAATATCACGGGGTGCATCAACACGTACTTCCTGGAAACGGCGCGCGGGAACAAGCCCGTCCTCCCGGGACTGCAGTTACTGTGAAATTAGTCTTGCCAGGTTGCGGAGCTGGGAGGGCACCGGTCGTCACGGACAACCCAAGGCGGCAGCCTGTGATTGTTCTCTGGTGAAAAGCACACTTGCTCTGTCCCCTTCCAGGTCCTCCTGATGTGGCATTGAATGGTGGCCCTAAAAGCTGTGTCCACCTCCCGACCCCAGGACCTGGGACGGGGCCCTACTGGAAATGGGGCCCCAGCGGAGGGAGTCGGAGGAGGATTAGAGACGAGGCCGTCCTGCCTCAGCCTCCTGACTCCAAAGGCAGCGTCCTCAGGGGAGACAGAGGAGGAGATGCAGACACAGAGGAGCAGAGCAGCCGTGTGGAGACGGAGGCAGAAACTGGAGCGGTGGGGCCACAGCCCAGGGCCTCCTGGAGCCCTGGGAGGAGGCAGAGGCAGGAGGGTCTCCCAGGAAATGAGGCTGGGACACTGCAGTCTCAGCCTCCTGGGTTCTAGGATGGGAATGGACAGATCCTTGTGGCTTTAAGTCAGCCACCTCTGGAGCCCCATTCCTGGGCATCTGATCCTGTGGATTTCTCTATCTGTTTTACCTTCCATTGGGCTGCTGTGGCCTCTGTGCGTCACCTACGGGTTTTGTCTTCCTAACCTGCTACGCATCGGATTTTCAGTTTCATGTTAGCTTCCTGGATACCTTAGTTGCCCTTTAGATTGATTTCCTTACTTTTTTTGTTTGACTTTGGTCTTTTGGGTTTTTTTTACAAAATATTTTTATTACTTTTACAGACTTTCTTCTGCACATCAGAAAGTCAAAGGATACGGATGCTGAAACTGTGAGAGCCACAGACAAGCACCGACTGCATTCGCGAGTCTGTTGACTTTTTTACAAAACAGATATTTTCATCCAGTGGTCTTATTTCTGCAGTGCTGAGGATTGAACCCAGTGCCTTTGTAGCGAGTTACATCCTAAGCCCCTTTTTAAACATTTTTGTTTTGTTGTTTTGTTTGGAGATGGGATCTTGCCGAGTCCCCTAGTTCCGCAGACTGGGCTCCTATTTGGGACCGTCCCGCCTCAGCCTCCTTGAGTGCTTGGGATGCAGGTGAGCGCCACCAGGGCTGCTCTCTTCCCATCTGGATGAACGGAACGACAACCTCGCTCTGTTTTTCTCTCCTTTTTAGATAACCAAGATAGAAATGTCATTTTCTGAGCACGTCAGAGACGCGGGCTTCAGACAAAAGCAGAAGTGGGACAGGCAGGGGGGGACCCCAGCGCGGTGTCAGGCGAGGGCCCTGCCTGTGGGGACGGAGGCGCTGCCCACGAGGACCCTCAGCTGCTGGCAGGGAGCCCGGGCGGGGTGCTCCACTTGTCAGAAGCCGGCAGCTCCTAGCGGAGGGACCGGGGCGAAACAGCCCCCAAGAGGACTGTGCCACCGAGGAGCCGTGGTTTCCCGAATGCAGTGCCATGTTGTGAGCCCGAACCTTTCCAGGACGGGTGGACGGGTGGACGGGTGCATGGGTGGCTGGGGTCCCCTTGGCGAAGGTCACCTTGAGCCCCTGGTCCCGCTGGTCCTCAAGCCCAAGGAAGGCTGCGGTCCTCCGCCAACACCAGCGACCCTCCCATCCGTGCGTGGCCTGCTTTCCCCGTGGTCGGGGGCATCCTCGTGCACCTCTGGGCGCTGTGATGCCCGACATTCGGGGCATCAGCAGGTTGTGTAAGAGATTTCCCTGCACTTAGACTGCGACCAGGGGAGCTGGGACCAGCTGAGCGCAGGGTGCTATGAGAAATTAATCGTGTTCGATCAGCTGGCTGGTAAGCATAGCCTCTCACCACCAGGCCCCTGCGAACAGCACCGTGGACTCTAGGATTCCTCCCTGTACGGCCCTCGGCTGAGCACAGCTGAGCAGCACTCAGGAGGCTGAGGCAGGAGGGTCACTGCCACTGGGCAGGGCTTCCGGACGATGCATCACGAAGCATGGTGAGCCGGATCCACCACCTCCCGGCCTTCAGCACTCCACCTGGGAGAGGAGGAAGACAGCATGACAGTGGGCAGGGTTGTAGCTCAGTGGTTCAGCAGCCTGCTTCGCAAGCGCAAGGTCCTGAGTTCGAATCTCGGTACCCCCCGAAAAAGAAGCAAGTGTGAAAGAAAGTGACAAATGGCGCAGCTGAGACACGTGCCCACCCACGACCGGGCTGACCCGGGCAGTGTCCAGCTGGGGGCTCGGACGGAGCCTGGCTGTACACAGGGCCCTGCCCGGTGTTGCACGACTGAGCTCTGGCTGGCGGGAGACCCAGCGGGGCCCAAGGCGATCCGTTCCTCCAGCAGCAGCCAGCAGGGCCGAAGAGGGCTCAGCGCGTCCTCCGCCCGGCCCGCTCCTTGCCCTGCTCTCCTCCAGCTTTTCCCGGGGGAGCCCCAGTGCGGCCCCCGGACTTTATGTCGCCGTCTCAGGCCCTGCTCTCCGCGCTTTGGGGTCGCGAACGCCCTGCTGTTTCTCCTCTTCCTCCTAAGCATGCAGAGCCCTGGAGACTGAGGGGATATTCGTGGAGATTTGGAAGGGGTGAGAGGCCCAGGAGAGCTGGGCCAGTTATTCACACAGCTGGAACAAAGCACTCTGGAAACGTCTTGGAACTC